AGAAATCTGAAAAGATAAAAACAAATTCTTTTTTTGTAATAATGAGGAACAGCAGAAATAATATTAAGGAAGTATGGGAATTATGTAGCTTAATAGATGTTTTCTTATTTCACTTCCTGTTTCAAAGATTTCCCATAAATATTTGCACTTTCTTATTTTTTTCCTTTTGGTGCTTATGGGGGTCTTTGAGAGGAAGATTGATAAATGGGCAGGAAATTGGCCTAAATTTAGAAGTTGTTGTCTGTAAAGCCTTTATGCACCTTTTAGCTGTCTAGCTCAAGTGTTCTACATTGTCCTTTAAGTTACATTATGTTTTTAAATAAGTTATATATCATTATAATAGTATTTATGTGCACAGATACTGTTATTGAAATAAAATATGCAAAAAAACTCAAAAATTTTAAGTGAACAGATAGATAGATTTTCTAAAAATGAATACACTAATGTAACCACCACCCAGCTCAAAATATAGAATATTACCAGCACTTAAGAATCTCTCTTCATTCCCTTCTTCTGCTACCCTCTTCTTCCTTCCCAGAGGTAACTACTGTCTTAGCTTTTAAAACCTTACATTAGTTTCACCTGTTTTAAAACTTTATATAAATGAAATTATATACTATGTGCCTGAATTCTTTCACTTAACATTAGGATTTTGAGATTTTTTTCATTTTGTTACATAAAATTTAGTAGTTTGTTCACTTTCATTGTATAGTATTCTATTGTATAAATATGTTACTAGTAATTTATCCTTTTTATTATTGATGGACATTTGGTTTATTTCCAGTTTTGGAGTATTATAAATTACAGAGCTATGAAAAACCTTATGCACATCTTTGGGTTCACATATGTGTGCATTTCTGTTGAATATATAATATACTAGGAATGGAATTGCTGAGTCAAATGGCATGCATATGTTCAACTTTAGTAGATGTTCCTAAGCAATTTTTTAAGTGGTTGCATAAGTTTATATTCCCATCCTTGTTTTATGAGAGTTCCAGTTTCTCCACATTCTTTCTAAACATGTGGTATTTTGTCTTTCATTTTAACTTTTATGGTAGTTATGTAGTGGTATCACTTTTCTCTCTCTCTCTCTCTCTCTCTCATATATATATATTCTTTCTTGTGGTTTTTTGTAAATATGAAAAAAAAGTATTCATGATTTTCAGTCAGCTGTGAGCTCACAGGTTTACTCATTATTACATACTATAGCATGGTTATTTATTATACTAGCATTTATGCACACATCTTTCTTGTGGTTTTTTGTAAATATGAAAAAAAAGTATTCATGATTTTCAGTCAGCTGTGAGCTCACGGGTTTACTCATTATTACATACTATAGCATGGTTATTTATTATACTAGCATTTATGCACACATCTTACTGTTTGTTCCCAAACTCACATGTTGCATTTGTAAATTTATGTATACTCAGACAGTTTGGTTGTTGACTTCTGACTCATGGAGAATAGTGATCTAATTGCAAATTTATATCTTTAGGACAGAAAAACTTGCTTTTATACTTCTCTTGACTTATAATCAAATAGAGGAAATATAGTATGTTCACCCATCACCAGAATATTAGGCAGAATAATCTTGTATCCAACTGTGAGACAAAGTGTTATAGGAAGACAGTGGAGAAAGGGACTTATGTTTGTTGAGACAAATTGAGAATTGTTTATTGATGTGAATGTAGCAATTTGATTTGGATTTTGAATGATAGGTAGAATTTTATTTGTAAAGTTTTAGAGAACCATGTACTAGTGTTGGGGAAAGTATAAACAAAGGCACTTTAATTTCAAAGGAGGGCTGTGTTTGGGGAATGTTGACAGGCCTAGAATGCTTTTGAGAATAGGGTGAAAAGTGTAAAAATCTTGGAGACCAAATACAGACTGAAGAGTTGCAGGTTTTCAGAAGGAAGGTTTTGAATGCTTTGAGCAAAACTTTTACATACTAACTTTAGGCTGGGAGATTTATTTCACAGCCCCCAGTAGGATAGTTTGATGTGTGGAGGTGGAATTTGAGAGACAGTTCAAGGATGTCATGAGGACCTGAAAGTGTGTGTGTGTGTGTTTGCACATGTTAAAAACTGAGAAAGCTGGAGATTTGGAGCCTACCAGCCTGGGAAGGTAGAAGCAATAAGTTAATTTTACAGAAGACATCTGTAAATTGCAGCCTCAGCATTGAAAATAAATAAGTAAATGACAGAATCATTAAGTAGATATATAAAATGTTAATGTTTACTATTCTTAAACATTGGTATTTGGTTCTGTATTGTATATTAGGGTGGCAATCTAGATTTTTTCCCCACCATAAACAAGAAATATTGCTTTTAACCACTGGTTTTCAGCTTTAAAGTTTTTAAATTTTTCATTTATAAATTGAAGTGTATCTCTAAAAAATTAAGAACTTCTTTGAAAAAAATTCACTATACTTTATCACACTAAATAATGTTAACAATGTTTTCTTAATATCATCTAATATCTAGCTAGTCTTTGTTTCCCCAGTTGCCTCTTTTTTTCTCTTTTTGGTGGCTGGCCTGTATGGGGATCTGAACCCTCTTTAAAAAATAAAAAAAATAGCTGTTTGTTTTAGTCAAAATCCAAAGAATGCATTTGATTAACTTGTCTCTTAGGACTCTCTCTTTTTTAAATTTTTAAAAGTTGGGGGTCAGTTTACATTAAATAGTTCAGTGAGTTTTGACAAATGTCTAAACCTCCTTTCTAACAAGGTATAGAAGTATTCTGTCCCCTCAGAATGATCCCTACTGCCCCTTTTCAGTCTTTCCTCTTCCTCCAAACCACTATTTTGATTTCTTTCTCATCATTCTGGCTCAGTTTTTTATCAAGCTACTCTAGTAACATTAATCCCTTTTTTGTCCTTTTCTCTCCAATAACTACTTAAAGAAGAAAAAAATATGAGTAAAAATATAATCAAGAACAATGTAATTTTTTCTTGCAAACCTAGAAAGCCCAGATCTGTAGCTCTGAGGTCTAACACTGGAGCTCAATATCTGCCTGTCATTGGTAGCTAGCTGATACAGTAACAGTCCTTTCTACCTCTTATACCTTTGCATTTTCAGTTTCTTAAGGAGTGTTGTTCAATCCAGTGCTGTTTGTGGAAAAAAATACAAAATGAAAAATGCACACTCAAACCCATTTCCATGACAGGCATTCTTTGGCAAGAGGCTTTGTGATCTCTTTTGTAATGCTTAGCTCAAAATTTGAAGACTTCTATTTGGGACAAGTCTATGAATAGTTGGATTCAGGCATGACATTCCTCATTCAGTGAAGCACTACCTCTCTGGTGTGTTTTGATAAAGTGTTTGCTGTAGTGTCCAATTAGTGGATTATGCAAATTATACAAAGTTTAGATTAGAAATTTTACTGTTTTGCCCCTTCTTCCCCTTCTCAAAGAAGGGTACGCTTCAGCTAGAGAAAAGAATAAGTAAATAGTCATGGAACAATTATGGAAAACTAAGTATTGTAATTTTACTAAATATAGATGTAAGGAAAGTTTTTAATAATAATGTTTAAGTGAATTGCCAAATGAATTGGTTCTGGCAAGTCTTAGGTCCTTTGGTTTTGCTGTCAAATTAATGAACATTATAAAATTAAATACACCAAATTTTACATGATGGTGGTGTATGAGCATCTCAACTATGCCATTTTCCCAGTGGTCAGGCTAAAATTGGAATAGTTCAAGTAATACTTTTATACTGCTGAGTGAATAAGTACATGTACTGAGAGAAATTGAAATTGACAGTAAAAATATTGACAGTTAACCCATGCCCTGATAGAAGAGCAGATGGAAATGTCTTGCATGAGTTCCAGTTCATTAAGCAAATGTGACACTTTATTTTCTAGCCATTTTAGTTCAGGGAACTGAAGTGTTGAAATGGTGCTATAAATGAAGCCACTTCTTATGGTGCTGAAAGTATAGAAGACAATATGCTAGGAAGAATTTTTGAGATATAGTGGTGTAGCTTTCTGATGCCTGAAAAATTTGATTTTATAATTTAATTGTTACCACATTATCATCTCTGAAAGTTAATTATAAGAAAGTGCTGGCACAGTGTTCTAAATTCATGATGGGTTAGATAGCCAAGCTATGTATTTATTATTATAGTTTAATATTGTACTTTGTAGCTCTCCTAACACTTAATAATAAGCTAGCTTCTTTTTTTATATTTTAATGTGCCATTAGTTTACAGTTTTGGAGAATTGCTTTTCTATTTTTATTTTTTAAACATATGGGCATGTTTTTCAAGGTCTTTTAATGAAAAGAGTTGTTCGTAATCTCAGTATATTTACGATAACATATCACGGATTATTTTAAATCTGTCCTTATTCAAAGTAGAAGTTCATTTTAAATTTATTGTAACATAAAAGAGATGTTAATGCATGATGAATGTTTCAAAGCATTTTAGATCCCAAAATTTATTATATGTTTATTTATATTTAATTCCAATAGGGTATCTTTTCTGTAAAAGTTGATGTGATCTCAACATTGCCATTTTAATTTTAGCAAATTCACTAAGTAGCTTGGATTGGCAGTATTTCACACCTTAGATTTGCACTGCTTAATCTATTTCATTTTTGTCTGTTAATGGACTATAGAAGTACAATGGCTAAATTCTGTGAAAATAGTCTTTATTATCAGTATATGGTACCTTACAAGATAGTATTGTTGCTGTTTTATATTGTAAGGTGCTTTTTAAAAAAAAACTTGTATATTTTGCACACTTCACACTACAATTCACTTACACACTGCCTTCAGTGAGCTTTAAATAACTGCTTAGTATCACAGCTTAAAGAAGTGTCCTCTTGAAATGACTGACTATGTGTATAGTGAAGTAGGTATCATTGTGGGATATTTTAAACACATCTTGTTTGATCTGTATAGAGGAGGCCAAAAATATTTCTTTTTGAATGACAGTTGAAATTTAAATAATCTGTGTGATGTTTTCCTTGTTTTAATTTGACTATCTTTTCTTGTCTCATAGATGCTTGTGACCACACCAGAAAAATGGGATGTAGTGACAAGAAAGAGCGTTGGAGATGTAGCTCTTTCCCAAATTGTAAAGCTCCTTATTCTTGATGAAGTTCATTTGCTGCATGAAGATAGAGGGCCAGTATTAGAGAGCATAGTTGCACGTACCTTACGGCAGGTAAGAGGAAGTTATTTATAAGCTTATTTTGGAAGGATGAGTAAGTTTTTAAACTTAAAATGCAGCATTCAAAAGAAATATTCATATGCATTATTCATGGGGATAAAGATAGTTTTAGTATGGAGAAACCTTTAGCTTTTCATTTTCATATTAAAAGTCCCATATCTTTCTTCCAAATCTTATTTTATTGGAATCTCTTTAAGTTCACCAAAATAAATACAGGCAAACTTCATCCTTCCAAATCTTATTTTATTGGAATCTCTTTAAGTTCACCAAAATAAATACAGGCAAACTTCCATTCTAAACCTGTGTTGCAAAGCTAAGTCTAATATTGATTAAGGAGAATTAAAATATAAAATGTAAGAGAATATTATTGTTTTGATCCACTTCTCTCTGCCCCCACAAAATCTGAACATGATTTATATTTTTTCAATATAGTAAATAAAATCAAGTGTGATTTCCTAGTGTGTACAATCGCACATGTTGTCTTTAATTTGAGGTCTTTTCAGTTATACATAAATAGTCCAAACCGAAACTGGTAAATTCACCAATGCAAAGAGTCTCATGAGATCTTCTGTCAGTCCTTCTTTTTACTAAGTGAAAAGATAGAATATTCATGAGTGTTAAAATGATGTTTTCTGGTAGATTTTACATACTTAGGAAATAGATGAACACCAGTTTTTCAACCTAATCAAAAACTCTAGTTCCTCTATCTCCGTTTTTTATTGCCATTTATTCATATTCTTCTGCCTTTATTTTCTTTCTGAAATAGCTAAGACTCCATGACCAATTACCCTCCTGTCAATGCCTTTAACTTACTTAACTCCTGAGTACCTGGCAAAATTACAATAATGAATCAATTGAACCATGTCCACACCTCCAGCTAGACTGCTAATAACCAGTGCAGAAGATTACAGAGTGATGTAGACTAGCATTAGTATACATTGATAGACTGTAGACTATACATTCATAAACCCTGAATTTGCCCAGATCCTTGAGAGTCTTCTAAGCAGCTTTTCTTCTGTTTACCTACTGTGACCATTTCCAAGCTTCACCAGTCTCCTCTATCACTCTTCCTCACTGTAATAGTCCATTTTCTGTTCCTTATAACAGAATACGTAAAACTGGGTAATTTATAAAGAAATGAGATTTATTTCTTACAGTTTTGGAGGCTGGGAAGTCCGCATTTTCTGTTGCTTATAACAGAATACGTAAAACTGGGTAATTTATAAAGAAATGAGATTTATTTCTTATAGTTTTGGAGGCTGGGAAGTCCATGGTCCAAGGGACACATCCTGTGAGGTACTTCTTCTTGATAGTGGCTCTCTACAGCAAAGCAGGGTATAATTACATGTCGAGAATCACAAAAACAAGCGGGCTAACCTTCTCACTTGCTTGCCTTATAAAATCATTGGAATCATGCCCATTACTCTATGAATGGATCAGTCTGTTCACCAGGGCACAGTCCTCACAATCTAATCACTTTTCAAATACCATAATCAGATTTCCCACCCTCCTAGCCCTTTGATAATGGGTATCAAACTTCAGTGAGTTTTGGGGGGACACTCAGCCCACAGCACCCATCTTGTCATGCCTCATTCTTATACAACAGGACTTTTTACTGAACGGACATAGAGTTCTTCATTCTTGAACTACTCCATTTTCATGCCTTCTCCTTCCTCTCCCTACCCAGAAAGAAAGTGCAACCCTCCCCCACCCCAATCATAACCATACCCATCATTATGCCCTTTATCTTTTTTTCCGAGGTCCCTTCTGCTTTGCCTTGGATCCCATTCCTTTCACTTCGTAGGTTATCACTTCTTTTTTTAAACTTAACATTTATTTATTAAATTTATTATTTATAATTGTCCTAGTTTGTTCCTTGTTCATCTAAAGTTTTTTTGTTTGCTTTTTTTAATTTAATTTTATTTTATCTATATACAATATAGTTGATTTTCGTGTCCCTTTACCAAATCTTCCCTCCTCCTTCCCACTCCCTTCTCCGTCAACATCATATCTGTTCACTTGTCTTAACAAGTTCAAGGAATAGTGATTGTTGTGTCTTCTTCCCCACCCTATCCCTTTTCTTCCTCCTATGTCTTTACTCTCAGTGGGCACTGTCTCTTCAACTTAAAATAATTGCAGAGTCCCTCCCATCTTTACCAAAAAACTTCCCTTAAACCTATCCCTCTCCAGTAACTTTTGCTTAATAAAGCTCTTCTTTACCACCTTGCTTCTGGAAATATTAATCCACATTTGCTGTTTCCCTTTTAACTTTCAACCACTGCAGTCTGGTCATTGCTCAAACGTAGATAATAAAATGTTTTCACCAGTTACCAAGATATAGTTCTCAAACCCATTTTTTTAAAACTTTTGATACTATTTATCATGTCCTCAATCTTAAGATTTTTTTCCCTTTGGCTTCATGATGCCACCCTATCCTGGCTGGTTTTACTCACTTGATTTTTTTTCACTTACCAGCTGCTCTTTTTCAGGCTCTGTTGCTTGTTTCCTGTTCTCACCTTTGAAATGTTTACCTTCTCTAAGACTCTGTCGCTTGCCATCTTTTTTATTCTAAATATTTACCCTGGGAAAAATAATACTTCTATATGTATGTCACTTAAATCTTTATATATAGTGTAACTAGTATAACAAATATAACTATATAGTGTAACTATAATATAATGTGTGTGTGTGTGTACATGTATATGCACATATATATATATCATGGTTGACTTCCAGGTATATTCAAACTCAGTTGTATATTTCTACTTTGATATCTCATAGACATCTCTTGCTAACCTTGTCAGAACTCTGTCATTTTCCCTATATACCTATATTTGGCATCACAGTCCACTTGGTTACCAAGCCAAAACCGTGGAAGTCATAGTCAAGTTCTGCCTCTTTCCATCCCAATATCTAGTTATACATCAGTTCTTTTATGTCCTATATATTTGTGGTTCAGATTTAAATATGGGAATTTAATATAAAAAAAGGGGATAGAAACTTTAGGATGGGGAATATCTAAACAACATGCAAAACTCCGAAGTTATAAAAGAAACCTGTGTCCCATTTGGATATATAATATTAAAAAATTCTGATCAGTGAAGACACCTTCACAAAAAAGTTCAAACATAACAGACAACAGAAATTATCTGTAACACATAAAATGAATCTTTAATATCATTTATACTTGATAGGTTTTTATAAGCTAATAAGAAAAATAATCTTTAAAAAACTGGAAAAAGCATTTTACAGTAGAAATAAAAATACTGAGAAATACAGAAAAGATGCTTAAAAGGAATCCAAATCAACGTGAGCCATTTCTGTCCTATCAGATTGACAAAAATGAAAATGGAATATAATTTGAAAATATCCACTAAAATGTACCCTGTGTGTTTACTTCTGGGAATCTAACCTATGGAAATAATAGCATTAACACGTAAAAATACATTAATACCAGTATTCATTAAATATTTTAGAAACCAGCCAAATGTTCAACAATAGAAGAAATGGTTTAATAAATTATAGTATATTTATACAATGAAATGCTACTTTGCAGCCTTTAGAAAGAATAAGGAAGAGCTATATGAACTGGGCTTAGAAGATATCCATGTTATATTCTTCAGTGAAAAAGCAAGCTGCCCTGTATATATGACAACAATCCCATTTGTGTAAAGAAAAACATGTGCAACATATTTATATTTTTATTCATTCATTTATTTAATGAACTTTTATTAAGCACCTACTGTGTGCCAGCCACATAGTTCTTAGGTAATATGGATATAGTGGTACACAAAACAGTTTTTTCTTACATTCAGATTTTAGTCTGTCATAGAGTAAGTAAATATACATTAAAGAATATGCAGCAAGCTGAAAAAGTGTTTCTTACAGTAGAGGTGGAATTGGAGGGTGTTTGGGACATGTCCACTTTTTATCACATAAATGTAAAAAGTAGGCATGTGGTATATACACATACATATACACATACATAGAATGTAAAGGGTTGAAATGTTCAAAGAGATGCACAAAAATCAGAGATTTTAGCTAATATCCAATATAAGAGTAACTTGAAGATTCAGGTAGGTGTGAGACATAGATGAAATATGGAGAAGTCTGAAACTGTCATCTTGTCCTTTCTTGCTACAATGGATATGCTCTGGCCGAGATTTTATATATTAGATCTCGAAAAGAAGCATGCAGGAAATCATTTACCAAAAGAGAGCTATTTTGATCATGAAATGTTTTGATTTTATACCCTGATACTTAATTAGCTTAGTGATGTTTTTCAGGGAGCCATGCTGCATGAATCCATACGTTCCACATTTATTTGCAGTGAGCCGCCTAGTGAGATGTCCGTCCAGCTAAAAGCATCCCACAGATAAGGACTTTCCTGCAACTGTAGAACATTAGAGGACAAGTAAATATTATTAGTACATTTGCCAGTAGGTCTGTCATTCACCTGTTTGCAAGTGGATTTACCTAGGACATCTTTCTTTCCTGAGCATCCTCAGTAGAGGGAGAAAATAGATTGGTCTTGCTATTAATCCTTTCTCTATGCATGTACACAGATACACAGTATTATGTATCATGTATAATATTTGTAAGCAGTCATTATAATTTTATTAATATTTTGTAAATTATTTATAAATGTATAATAACATAATTTTCTATATATAATTTATAGATATAAACTATACAATTATATAAATTTGCTTATTATGTGTTATATGTAACAATTACATAAACACAATAATATATCTTAATATATGATAGAGAAATATATAATATATTGTATATAATATATTTATAATATGTGTATTTAACATATTAATTTTTCCTTCATATTGTCATCTCCATAATGTAACCACATTCCAATTGTATAGTTTTGTACTACAGTGCTAGTAAACCTTTGCTGACTAGCTGTTTGCTATCTTAAGAAAAACTGTTCAAATTCCCTAGCTGGATAAAGCCCTGTGTATCTGTCTAATTTTAACTTCTACATATCTGTCAGTTTTCATAGGTTCCAGCCACAGAAAACTATTTGATCTTTCCCTACTTCCTTTCCAATACCATTAACTCTCTTTCAGAGATGAAACTAGTCCTACTTGAGGCAGAATGTGTTGTTGGTTGTGAGATTAAGGGTTATAAATGCCAAATTATGTAATACCTTCTATCTTTATCATTTTACACATCCATCAAGTGAAAATCTACTGTTCTTTTGGATCTGTCAAGTACCACTTATTCTACAAAGTGTTTCCCAGTTCCTCAGTCAGAATGAATTCACCTTTTCTGTGTTCCCTCTACAGTCCCTTTCTTTGCACATTTTTAGCACCTATCATAGCCTTTCTCATAATTTCACAACTTGTAGAAGTTAATTAAGTATTCATCTGTATTCCTCACTAGACTTTAACCTCTGTTATAGAAGGATCTATATGATTCTTCTTATGTTTCCAAAGTACTAGTGCAGTGCTCATGCCTAGTTTTATTAAAAAGCTGTTTGTTTTTATTTGTTCCTAGTGATTACCAGATGTTCCCAGTAGATGGCAGTGTTTCACATGATCACTTCAACATTTGTAACTAATGTAGACGTGCCATAGGAAGCTGTTCCAGTGCAGTGCAGGTTCTGTTCAGGATCTGAAATTGCATGGACGTATTAGGGATTAAATTCAAAACACACTTTGCATGATTGGGAGAAATTTGGAAAGATAAAAGCGTAAGAAATCTCAAATCTGTGGTATTTAACAACACTGAGTTAGTATTAGCTGTGTTCTTAACTAATTTTGCTTTCAATAGAGATACTTTGTCCAAACTTAGATTTTATGTGAAGGAAAACATCAGTTCATAAAAGTTTACTGCCTCGTCTTTGGGCTAATGATAAAGTGAAAATTACAAAATATTAAATTTTTATAGTTTTCAACAATTAATATTTTTTGGTGAATACGTATATTATATAGAGCTTTGAGATGTGGCTTAGGATAAACATTCCAATTTTTTCTATTTCAAATAAAGTATGTTAACAATGATAGAATTATACTTTTAGATTTTAAAAATATGATTGTTTTAAAATGGGTTTTTACCAGAAAAATGTCTCTACTGTTTGCCAGGGTACCACATATTTAACATCAAAAGATGTTAAAAATATGTTTGGTAACTTTTGTTTTTTAAATAAGGATATTAAAACCAGATTTCACTTTCATCTCTTTTCAAATCACCACTCGCACTGTATAAAATTATAGTATAATCAAAATCATCATTATAATTACCGTATGTTGTGAAGGATGTTTCTAAATAAAAGGTATAGTGATTGTTTCCCCTTATTTAGAGTTCTTTGCTTTTGGTGGGGTTTAGTTTGGGTTTTTGTTGATATCCATAGGATTTTTTTAATGAAAACAAATACATGGTAAGATGCTATATATATTTGTACTTTAGTTTTCACCGAACTCTTTTTTTTTTATCTTCCCTCTTTATGCTTCTGCAAATAGTCTCTGCATGTGTGAATCTGTGTCTTATTCAGTACTACATCCCCAGTTCTTACAGGGTAGATCCTAAGCCAATGCTGATGGATGGATGATTCTGGACATACTAATATTATTCACATTGGAGTACCTTGCTTATACCTATAGAGTCTCCTAGACTAAGCAAACTTACCAACAGCTTCCTCAGAAAGCTGCTATGAAGTTGGTAACAGCATATGGGATCATAATGATATATTTTAATTACCAAGTGAATAGAAGATTTTGGCCATCTCTTGGTTTTATCTTTCTAGGTATATTACATTGTAATCAGAGAATGACCTATATGATTTTTAGTTTTGAGAATTTACTGAGTTTTTTGTGACCATAATACATTTAATTGCTGTAACGTTCTTATAGGTATTTAATGTAAATTCCCATGTGTATTTTGACCTATATGATTTTTAGTTTTGAGAATTTACTGAGTTTTTTGTGACCTTAATACATTTAATTGCTGTAACGTTCTTATAGGTATTTAATGTAAATTCCCATGTGTATTTTTAATTATAGTGGGTAGAAAGTTCTATTTTGTTATCTATTGAATCAAGCTTGTGAATTATGGCCTACAAAGTCTTACATGATAGGACTCTCAATTGACCTCTAAACTCACCTTTGTCTATAGTTTTTCAGAGGTCCTATTAATAGGACACATGACAGTGTTTTTTAGTTAAATTAATTTAAATAACCCATATTTAATTAAAATAACCTCTAATTAAAATAACCCATACAGGTTGAATCCACACAGAGTATGATCAGGATTCTCGGACTGTCTGCAACCTTACCCAACTACCTCGATGTTGCTACATTTTTACATGTTAATCCCTACATTGGACTTTTCTACTTTGATGGCCGTTTTCGACCAGTACCTCTCGGACAGACATTTCTGGGGATTAAAGGTGCAAATAAAGTAAATACTCATTTTAATAATTATACTTGTCTTTTCTAGAAATATTTTTGTTCGTGTGTTGTTGAATACCTGTTTGGGATTAGTCTCTAAAAGTCCATTTCAGTAGCATTACAAATATGACATTCTAGACAAAATCAAGCGCAATTCCTTAACTATTTGTAGTAGATAAGTCCTCCAGAAGGTTGCTTGTAATAATTTGCATTGTTATTTTCACGGTATATTTTGTATTCTCAGCTATTAAGAGTTTCAGGAAGTTATTTTGATATGATTGAAGGGCTTTGTGAAATAACGAAAGCTCTAATTAAACCAGTAATATATATTTTGATGTTATGTTCATTTAGAATAAATAATACCTCATATGCATTTGAAAAATAACTACATGATAGCAACTATCAAGAAAGATGCTGTATTTAACTTACAATGTTTTATAATTACCATATTTATGTATATAAATGTCATTTCTAAAATTTTATATAGTGCTTTAAAAAGTTTGTTTATCTAATTCCTTTTCTAGTATTGCCATGTACTGTTTGCACTATTAGGGTGCCTATTAGAGACTTTTTATTTTATTTTATTTTATTTTATTTTATTATTTTTTTAAAGATGACTGGTAAGGGGATCTTAACCCTTGGCTTGGTGTTGTCAGCACCACGCTCAGCCAGTGAGTGAACCAGCCATCCCTATATAGGATCCGAACCCATGGCCTTGGTGTTATCAGCACTGCACTCTCCTGATTGAGCCACGGCTGACCCAAGACTTATTTTATAACATGAAAGAAAACTTTACTTTGCTAAAAATTTAAATATTTATCTTTCTTTTCAACAACACATATGTTTCTGTGGAAGAAATAGCTTTAGGGGCATATTCACAGGCCTTTTGACTTCTTTACAAAAAGAGAACACAAGATGGAATCGTGTTATTACGTCAGCATTGGTTTTTAATGTATTACATTACGTTTTGTCTAAAAACAATTTCATTAGTAAGATAGGGCCATTTTTACCTTATACTATTATAAGTAAAATATTGAGCTAAAAAAAATCAGAAGTGACTGTTACTACAACAGTTAATATGCTGTAACTGCATTGCATAAAAGTAAGACATCTTTCAAATTGTAGGGAGCCATTTCAGATTTATGCAGAAAAGGATAGTTTACAATATGGTAGTACTTATGATATGCATATTTTAACCTTCATTAATTATTTCAACTGCTTTTCAGTATTAGTTGATGCTTGTTTTAGTCATGTTGTAATATATTTGATTATTTAGTTCATTTTAATGTATCATTAGGATAGATGTAGAACTCTTTATAGCTTTAGATTGTTTTCAGCTTTATAATTTAAATGATAACAGATGGTTATCACAGAGAGATATACAGAGAAGAAAATTGTTTCATATGCTTATCAGTCATCTTAAACCTTAGTTTCTTTCATTTGCATCATACAAATTGGTAAATCACTTAAAGCTAATTAAATTCAAAGTATTTTTCACCACAGTACGTTAGCATTATAATTATGAAAGGAATAGTGTTAGATGATGAACTGTCATAATTATTTTGAAGGTTTAGATTTTGTAAAATTTAAGTTTTTTACATGTCTTATATAGCGTAAACCGTAAATTACATGTGTTTGTTATATAGTTTTTTGTCCTATTAAAATTTATTAGTTTTACACTTAGTTGAAATATACTTAAACATTAAGCATTTCCCCAGGATGTTGTTTAATATGTTTAATAACCCGTTATTACACAAAAAGAAATCCCTGTAGGTATTTCAGTTTCATTCAGAAACTCATGATGTGATTCAGTTGTTAGGGAAGAATATGCGAAAATGATGAGAGTGATATGTCTAGTTTGAAATAATGGCTTTGGCCAGAACTCAACCCAAAGTACACTGAAAAAGTTACTGGGAATTTTTTTTTTTTTTGAAAGTTAAGAAAAAGCATTGTAATTGGCAAAGTTTTATTTGTAGTTAGAAAGTTTATAATTGCTTTTTAAAATATTTTTCATGTTTTAAAAACTTTAAGATGCAGCAACTGAATAACATGGATGAAGTATGTTATGAAAATGTTTTGAAGCAAGTAAAGTCTGGGCACCAGGTATGCTTAATTTATTTTATCCTAATAGAGTGCTTAATGATAAAAAGTATTAATTTTTAGGTTCTTATCTAAAATTTTTTCTTGAATTCTGAGACAATGACTCAGGTTTTATTTCTTAATAATTGTTTTAGCCCAATGGGTAACCATATAAGTCATAAGAATAATTTATGAATATTATTATCTCAGTATTGATAGGTCATACTATTTTGTTTGACATTTTTATTAATTATTTAAGAGAAAAAATATTTTATTATTTACATTTCTGCTTCTTTTAATCTTTTAAAAATCAGAAACCTCTCATCCATCAAAATTTTTAATTTGTATTTTTTACTAATGTAAAAATTTTAAACATATTGTTCTTAATGTTTTCATGAAGTAATATCAATTGAGATATAATAAATAATGAAGTTCTGTATTGTTATATGGTGTTTAGAAATGAAGCAGTTTTAATTTTAAACTGTCCATTGTCCAGAATGTTCAATTAAGATTGTTAAAGAAAAAAATAGAATAATAATTGCTTATATAAAATTAATCATTGCCCAATGGTTTGTGGTTCTTTGGATAACTTTATTATAGGATTTTTAAAGAAAAATAATGTTAGTCTTTTGCATCATGTGAAATTTTTTTAGCCCTTTGGTTTTTAATTTTTTTAAAGGACAGTGGAGTATTTTTCCCCAGACTAAATCTTGTTTGTAGCCCCAATATATAAAAAAACCAAAGATGATTTGGAGTTGAGAGCATGGTACATGGCCTACTGAGCATCCTTGAGACATTTTTGCCCTTATAAGAACAGTTTCATAGTAGGTTTCTAACTAATTTCAAGAGAATATGCTTAGTTTTAAGAATAACTTTTGAAGAAAAGAAATTATTATTTTAAGTTGTATGAGTATAATGATAATAATAATAGTGACTAACCTTTCCCTGTTCTTAATTAATGCCTGAAACTGATAAAATTATCTTTACTTTTATTATTTCATTGGATTCTTTCAGCAATCTGTGAAGCAGGTACTATTATCCTCACTTGACAAATGAAGAAAGTAATGTTCTGTGCAAAATAACATGTTCAGGTCATTCCACTAGTGTGCTTTCAAACGCAAGCTATGTTAGTGTAGAGTCTCTCTGCTAACCATTGTGTCATATCTCTATATTTGCATTTATTTTACGTCAGTGTTTTCCTTTGATCCTCATTAAAAATCATTCTGTGGGTTGCATTATTTGTCATTTTATAAATAAAGAAATGTAAAACACTCATATTCTTTTTTTTAATCAAAAAATATTACTGAATACCAACTATTTGTTCTAGGTCAGAGGCTGGCAAAATTTTTTTTAAAGGGTCAGATAGTAAATAAGGCTTTTATGAGCCTTATGTTCTCTGTTGCAGCTCCTCAAGCCATGTTGTAGCATGAAAGCAGCCATAGACAATATATGAATAAGTGGATGTGGCTATGTTCCAATAAAACTTTATTTACAAAAACAGGCAGCAGGTGCGTTGCAGGCTATAGTTTGCCACCTGTCTTCTAGATTGCCTCAAGAGATTTATTTGTAATGAATGTCTGATGATCCAAATGCTACCTTACAGAAACTTTTAAAAACATTTTAAAGAAGATCGTATATAGCCATCTTTGCAAAAGGGTACCATAAATTCACTTTAATTAGCTACATGTTACCACCATGCACATTTATTTCCAACTTTTATATATTATATTGTTATCTAAGGAATTTACCTGTGAAATCTGTAAACTCTATTTGTATATGCTATATCAAAAATATTTAGTAAATATTTAAATATTTTTTCCATTCTTTTTTAAAGTTCTTTTTTAGAGCAGTTTTAGGTGCACAGGAAAATTGAGTGGAAATAGAGTTCCCATTTCCCCCTACCCCCACACAGGCACAGCTTCCTCTGCTATCAACATCCTGCACTGCAGTGATACATTTGTTACAATCATTAAGCCTACATTTACATGTAAATATTATTCAAAGTCCTTAGTTTCAGTTAAGGTTAACTCTTGGTGGCGTGCATTCTATGAGTTTTAACAAATGTTATAATGACATATATCTACCATTATAGAGTCATACAGAAGACTTTCACTTACTGAAAAATCCTCTGTGCTCAACCTATTCATCCCTCCTCCCTGGCAATCATTGATCTTTTTACTATCTTCATAGTTTTGTTTTTTTCTAGCGTGTCATATAGTTGGAATCATATAGTCCCGTGTTGGTTGCTTCCAAGTTTGGCAATTACAAACAGAGCTGCTATAAACACCTGAATGCAGGTTTTTGTGAGGACTTGTTTTCAGCTCATTTGGGTAAATACAAAGGAGTGTGGTTTCTGGATCATATGGTAAGAATACACTTAGTTTTTTAAGAAATTGTCTTCCAAAGTAGGTGTGCTATTTTTTTATTCCCACTAGCAATGTATGAGAGTTCCTATTGCTCTACATCCTCACATCCTTGCCAGCATTTAGTGGTATCAGTATTTGAACATTGGCCTTTCTGATAGGTGTGTAGTGGTATCTCATTTTTCTTTTAATTTGATTTTCCCTAATGAAATATGATATTGAGCATCTTTTTATATGTTTATTCGCAGTCTATTTTCTTTGTTGAATTACTTTTTCAGGTCTTTTGCCCATTTTTAAATCAGGTTATTCATTTTCTTATTGTTGGGTTTAAATGTTCTTCATATATTTTGGGTAACAGTCCCTTATCAGATATCTCTTTTGCAAATATTTTCTCCCAGTCTGTGGCTTGTCTTCTCATTCTCTTAAAAGTGTTTTTATAGAACAGACATTATAAATTTTACCAACTGAGCTACCGAAGGAACCTAGACATTATAAATTTTAATGAAGTCGAACTTATCAATTATTTCTTTTATAGATCATGCCTTTGGTGTTGATATAAAAAGTCTTTGCCATTCTCACGATCACCAAGATTTTCTTCTATGTTATCTTCTAGAAATTTTAATAGTTTTGTGTTTTACATGTAGGACTGTGATCCATTTTGAGTTAATTTTTGCAAAGGGTGTAAGGTCTGTGTCTAGATTTATTTATTTTTTGCATGTGGGTATCCAATTGTTCCAGCACCATATGTTGAAAGTCCGTCTTTGCTCCTTGCTCCTTTGTCAAAGATCAGTTGATTGTATTTATGTGTGTTTGTTTGTGGGAGCTCTGTTCTGTTCTGTTGATCTACTTTGTGTATTCTCTCATCAGTACCACAGTGACATGATTACTGCACCTTGATGATTACTATAAGTCTTGAAGTCAGGTAGTGTCAGTCCTCTTTGCTCTTCTCTTTCAATGATGTGTTAGCTACTCTGGGTCTTCATTTAATTTTGAACTATGAGTTAACAGTTTACATCAGAATTTTTAATTGTAATGACATTTCTTCCATCACAAGAGAACTTTTTCTAATCTATGATTGATTTTATTAAGAATGAATACTATTAAATTTTTTTTTCTCTTTTTAAACAATGAAAATTAAAATGTAAACATTTTACTATGGAACATTTAATAGACATTTTATTTTTTGATTCTGAACAGGAAAACACCTATCACTCCTTGCCACGTCTTTGTAATTGAACAGCCTTGCACATATTATGAAAAATTTTAAGAAGCCAATAATAGGAATGTTATTGTGTTGCCCCTCAAATTGATGAAATTAAAGTAGTCATTGTTACTCTATCACAGTTAGCACTTACTGACCAGATAAGTAGGTGTTTGCTATATTACTGTGGAAGGTAAGATTGCTTCTCATTGGAATAAATCACTTTTTTTTTAGAAAAAAAGCAATTTTTGTAAACTCTTTCTTAGTGAGACTGATAAATATATATGTATCCACTCATAAACATACATGTAAACCATACACAGTTGTGAATTTTAAATAATATAAGTAATTAGCTTAATAATGCTATTACTGCCAGTACTGCAACTATTATGAGCACTTAGAAACTATGGGTCACTCAATTTTTGAGTTAGGGCTTTTATTCTGCTATTTATATTTGTTCTTTAAATCTACTTATCATACTAGTCCAGCTTTTTTTTTTAATATATGATCTTAACATTTTAAAATATTTCTTTAAAAAAATAAAGTTCAGCCTTATCCCTAAATGTTGTAGTTGGATAAAAATCCAAATAAATGTTGTAATTTAAGGGATCCTGTGATAACTGTCTTCTCTTTCTGTTCATAATACTACGATTTTTTTAAGTTTTGTAGAAATAGCTACATATTGCCTGTACTTTTTTTTGGTTATAAAAATGAAATGACAACATTAAAATTTTTTTCATAATTTCCTATTATTTTACAATTTTACTATTATTATTGTAATTTTTATGTATTTTCCACTAGTCTTTCACTCACTCACACATATGGCTTTTAATTTTGATCATTCAAACTTAAGTTTATTTATTTGTTTGTTTGTTTGTTTGTTTGGGGTGGGGGGGGGAGGCAGCTGGCCTGTACAGGGATTGAACCCTGGACCTTGGTGTTAACACCATGCTCTAACCAACTGAGCTAACCAGCCAGCTTCAAAGTTAATTTTAATTATTACTTATAATTCATTACTAATTTATAATTATACTGCATATACAGTTTTTATCCACTCTTGTCCTTAATGAGTAATAAGTATTTTTAATGTTTCCACATAGTCTTCACAATTTTTATGTCTGCAAGAGAGAAGGAGTCTTTATTCAAGTTCTAATTTTCAGACACTGTTTAAGTATCCTTGGACTTTTAATCTTCCCAGTCCTCTGACATAAGAATGATTACTTCCTTTTAATAAAAGGGGAAATGAACCTAAGACATATTAAGCAGCTTACCTAGGTCATATATCTAGTTTAAAGTGGCACCAGGATTTAAATACGGGTCTTTGTATTGATAAATCTCATAATGTCATTACTGACCCTTTGCCATTAAGCTGACATTGGCTGTTTATTATCGGTTATTCCTCCATTACAGAGTGCTTTAAATGTTTGCAGTTTTCAGTTATTAAAGATAGCACTGCTGTA